ATACTTCCCCTCCTACATGTCCCTCACCACAATTCTTTTCCTCAGCCATGGCCATGGCCAGATTTTTCTCTGAACCTGTACAGACTGGCATGTTCAAGAAGCAGTCCAAACGAAGCAACAGACAAAGGATTAATCTCAAAAATATACAAGCAACTCCTCCAGCTCAACTCCAGAAAAATAAATGACCCAATCAAAAAATGGGCCAAAGAACTCAACAGACATTTCTCCAAGGAAGACATACAGATGGCTAACAAACACATGAAAAGATGCTCAACATCACTCATTATCAGAGAAATGCAAATCAAAACCACAATGAGGTACCATTACACGCCAGTCAGGATGGCTGCTATCCAAAAGTCTACAAGCAATAAATGCTGGAGAGGGTGTGGAGAAAAGGGAACCCTCTTACACTGTTGGTGGGAATGCAAATTAGTACAGCCACTATGGAAAACAGTGTGGAGATTTCTTAAAAAGCTGGAAATAGAACTGCCATATGACCCAGCAATCCCACTTCTGGGCATACACACCAAGGAAACCAGATCTGAAAGAGACACGTGCACCCCAATGTTCATCGCAGCACTGTTTATAATAGCCAGGACATGGAAGCAACCTAGATGCCCATCAGCAGACGAATGGATGAGGAAGCTGTGGTACATATACACCATGGAATATTACTCAGCCATTAAAAAGAATTCATTTGAATCAGTTCTAATGAGATGGATGAAACTGGAGCCCATTATACAGAGCGAAGTAAGCCAGAAAGATAAAGACCATTACAGTATACTAACACATATATATGGAATTTAGAAAGATGGTAACGATAACCCTATATGCAAAACAGAAAAAGAGACTCAGATGTATAGAACAGACTTGTGGACTCTGGGAGAAGGCGAGGGTGGGATGTTTCAAGAGAACAGCATTGAAACATGTATATTATCTAGGGTGAAACAGATCACCAGCCCAGGTTGGGTGCATGAGACAAGTGCTCGGGCCTGGTGCACTGGGAAGACCCAGAGGGATCGGGTGGAGAGGGAGGTGGGAGGGGGGACCGGGATGGGGAATACATGTAAATCCATGGCTAATTCATTTCAATGTATGACAAAAACCACTGCAATACTGTAAAGTAATTAGCCTCCAACTAATAAAAAAAAAAAAAAAAAGAAGCAGTCCAGCTAACTACCCTGATTAAATCACCACAGAGGTTTGGCCTCCTAGACCCTTTCTCAACAGAGGTTTTCAGAAATACATACTGTCCTTTAAACAAGCTTAATCTTCTCTGGCCCTCAGAAGAGTAGAGAGAATATTACGTCAGAAACCCTCAGAGATCTCAAATAGAAACCAGATCAGGTTTTCTTTTTACTCTGAGCTAAGAACAATTATTTCTCAGTGTGTTAAATAAACCACAGGGTGAAGTAAAATTGGTGTCAGATACAGAAAATGGTCATTTTGATTAAGTATCAAATGCAAGAGAAAAGACAAAATTTTACATCTAGCATTTCTGGAAAGAGTCTCTTAAGTATAATGTATTGAATGCAATGAAAGGGATTAAAATACTACATGCATAAGCATGTCTGTAGTCCTAACATATACTGTGGGTTAAGCATTGCTATGAATAACTGCCAACAGCCAGATATTTATCAGTATCCCTTGTGCCAGATTTCAGCAATAAATGTAGTTTAAATAAAAAAATTTCCCTCTGCAAATCCAAAGATTTAAGTAAGTTCCAAGACGGAAGAGATTTTCATCTTTTTGTTTATTATTAAAAATGCCCAGTACCTGGCACAAAGGTACATTAAATAGTTGAATAACTATCTGATTAAAAATAAATAAATAAATAAAACTTCAGAAATGGAGATGAGGAATGATAAATAAGAGTTATAAAAAGCTTCCTGTATGCTCGGGATTACTCTAGCAATCGTATTAAAACCCTTCTCAATCCTTAAAACAACGTGATATGATATTCAAAATCAAGTCTGTCCACACTCATGCTAAGTACAACTATAACTTTTAATACTCCATGATCTCATGCAGTATTCCATGTTATCAAAGCACACATATACATTTTGTCACAAGGTGACCTTTTCCACATAACACAACCATAAAATCTACAACATAAGTATACAAAATATGCTCTCAACAATCTAGTGTTATCAGCATAAATAAAAAACAAATGAAAATAATCTCTGTGGCATTTTCTTTGTCTTTTGTGGGTAAGACTGACAACCACCAAAACCAAAAATTAATTTATAGCCAAGTTAATCCAGGCTAGTTCTTATTCAACTTATATAACAAATCAAGTGGTTTTCATAAGAGAATCTATCAAATAAGTATTTCTATTATTTTATGTTAGTTTATATTTGAGTTAACATTCATGTCTTCCTCTGCAAAATACTTAAAATACTAAGCCATTTTACTTTTTACCAATGAAGTCTCAACAAGAAGAAAATGTGCAAAATACTTAAAAGTATGAAATTATGAAAAAAATTTAAATTTATGGAGAAATATCATACCTACCAAAGGTTTTATAAAGAATAATAAAATGAATACCCCCTGCATCTACCACACAAGTTAAGAACAGTATCAGTAGGGTGATCATTTAATTTGCAACCTAACGGAACACCCTGAAAAAGAAAGGTAATGCTATTAAAATGTACATCAGTACCATAATCATGAACTGGAACTACGTTGGGCAAACCAGAATCTGTTGTTACCTTACTTAGCTGTAGCTTGAGAAGTTCCCTGATTATCCCTTGAAGTTCATATCCCTTCTTTTTCTTCACAAGAGGTAACCATGAAACTAAATGTTATTTTATCCATTTTATTGTTAATCAGTATTTTTTGTTTGTTTCTTTGCTGTAAAGAACATTCTTAAAGATGTCTCCTAAATAGATGTCTCCTGGCCCAGAAGTTAAAGAGTTTCCCTACGGTCTTTAACTAGAAATGAATCTTCTAAGTTATAGGGTAAATGTGTGTTCAACTTTATTAATATAATAGTAGGTGAGCTAACCAATCACCCATATTTTCCTATAGTTTAATTTTTTTCCTTTTATTTATATAACTTACCTCTATAATCTGTTTTGACTTTGTTTTGATCTATTATATGTTATGACAATCTAATTTTTTTCCCCTCAAATAGCTAATTTTCACAATTCTATATAGTGAATATCAATCCTTTCCCAGTTGGTTTGGCATGCTTCTCCCCAAATCAAGTTCTTACACAAGCAAAAATCTATGTCAGCCTTACTTACTGTGTTCTTTCAGGCTGATAGTGTTGACATTATCTTCTATGATGACATGATCCATCAACCCAGCACAAGAGAACACACCTATTTGGTGACCAGAAAGCTTACGCTCTTGGATTTATTCTTTGAATCTCTCCTGGTCACAGGTTGCTACAGATAAGCATCTTTTTAATTTGTTACATCATTTTCTCTTAAAGTATTAAATGCTTAAAGGAACTTGTGAAGCACAACTTATCCTGGGGTTCCATGAGAGACAGTTAGAAAATCACACTTTCTCCAGAGAAATGCAATATACACCTCCCTATTTGAACTCCTGCTATAGGGATATTTGCTATAATGACTTGCATAAGCCTGTTTTTTAACCTAAAATTTGCAATTGACTTGAAATCTACTCTACTGAATGTGCACACCTGCATAGTGAAAACTATTCTGCAGGGGTCCATAGGATCAAGAGTGATATAACCACACCTAAACTGTTCTCTGCTGGTTCAAATTCTTTACATGCACTGTTCATTATCTCTATTTTCTTCCCATCTTTTTCTTGAGAATTTAACCCTTTAGAGGTCTCAGAGTTTGCTTTTACCATAGACCTGGAAGCACAGCAACCTCGGCCAGTTTAGATAATATCTTTAATATATTATTTTGTGATTTATGCTACAGTATGAGCATCCTGTAGTACAGGAGATCATAATACAGATCTGAAACTGAATAGTACCTCTGAGTCTTTCACACAACTAATGGATTCATAAAATGTTAAATAATTAGATAATATTTTTAATGCTTTATGTTACACAGAAATCCTTGGTGGATAGTCAAGTGAGTGCTAGTGAGACCTGGGAAAACTGGTTGGAATTTGCACAGGCTATAAACATATTATTATTTTCTTATTTAAAACTACAGAATTCACAGACTAGATGCAACATGAAATTTGCTGTTCCGTAAGCTTTTAATAATGAATTTGACTAGTCAAGAGTCCTAAAATTGTCATTTGATAGAGTGATTTGATAAATCACATTCCAGCCTTGTCTCTGATGATATCCAGATAATCTTGGAAGTTCTGGGTTTTCCCAAACTCCTATTTATAATCTCTGGCTTACTAATGGAGTGCTAAATTTCACCTAGTCTTCATGGCTTTCCTTATTCTTGAAAAGCCTATGACTACTTCTTCCTAGTCCTGATAACCATACATGGTAAATGCTATTAACAGGGACTGCTGTTAACATAATAACCAAAGATACAAGCAAAATTATTTTATTTTAAATACTGGGAAAGTATTTGTAGTTCACAAACTTGAGGCAAATGAAGTGTTACATAACCTCCAGATCTCGAGACTAGTAAGTACTTACACATTCCTACAGAAACACATCATACAGTGGCACATATTAAGAGGCCTTTTGAAAGGGTCATTTAAGTTAATACAAATAACTCTCCCACCAAAAGCAAACTAACAAAATGTCTGACCATTTTATCTATTATACCAAAGTAAAAATTCTCCAAGTGGATGGGGAAAATCAATATGACTAGATCCTGTACTCTACCATCTTATCCTTTTCTTCTGAAAATAGCCTATGTGAATATATGGTGGAAAGACAATATAAAAATGAACATCTAACACTGTACCTGACACACAGTATATACTCAATATATTTTCGCCTATTGAGTGAATTAACTACTTGGCATGTTAAGACTTTTCTTTTAAGTAACAGAAAGTTTAGAGAAAAAAATTAACTCAAGAAAAATCAAACAAAACCTTCTTACCCACAGTCTGGAGCTGGACACCACCTACAATCAGGATCTGCAACGAGCCACCGTCTAAGCATAAATTCTTCATATTTTTCCATCAAGACATCATCACTTAATATCAAGCGGATATCATGGGGATTAAACCGTTCAGTACATTCTGGGCAACTGATATTAACTCTACTTTCAGAAATTTCTATCCTCAGATATTGTCGTAAGCAATCCACACAAGATCTATGATGACAAGTCATTATTTCAGGAAATCTGTCTTTAGAATGCCGCAAAAGGCACAAGGGGCACTCTATAAAGTCTCCAACTTGTTTGCTGATGGAAGTTAGCCCATTGTCAGAGGAGGTATTTGTAGAGAAAATGGAGTTCTTATCAGTACACATTTCAGAATGTATACTCTCAATACTTGCAATTCCATCCACCCCGCCATTCAGCTCCCTTGATTTACGTTTGTTATCCTTTTTCCTCCGAAACAGAGAGCCTATTGAAATTCTTCTTTTTTTGGGAGCCTTTTTGACTGAAGGCAAGCTCACAGACGAAGCAGAAGACTGAAGATCTCGATCTGAACCCATCTGCCGATGTAAACTCATGTCTAAAATGCTCATTAGAATTGAGTCAGGGTCTGTGTTTACACACAGCCCTTCATTATATTTAAAGATAAAATCTATTTCTTGTTCTTGCATTCAGATTAAGTCATGATGTTAGAAAATCCTACTTGGTTCCTTCAGAGAATTCTTGAAAGAGTCCAATCTATAGAAGACTTATCACAGATGTTCTGAAAAACAGAAGAAAACAAAACACCAAGATTATTTAATTGTATTCACCATGTGCATGTCTTTTTAATAAACTTGCAAACTCTCTATGAAACATCAAACAAGTATGTACTTTAATCACTGGTTTTTGGTTTTGATTTCTTAAAATAAGGCCAGTTTATGGTAGAGCGAGTGGTAAAGAACCTGCCTGCCAATGCAGGAGATGTAATGATACATGAGTTCAATCCCTGGGTCGAGAAGATCCCCTGGAGGAGGGCATGGCAACCCACGCCAGTATTTTTGCCTAGAGAATCCCATGGACTGAGCCGGGTAGGCTACAGTCTATAGGGTCGCAAAGAGTCAGACTCAGCACATAGCACGTTAGCAGTGAACAGTCTACACGAGATTTAAAACCAATGCTGATATAACAAAGGTATTATTTAATCTTAAGAATCTAGATTTGGGCCAAAGATCTAAACAGACATTTCTCCAAAGAAGACATACAGATGGCTAACAAACACATGAAAAGATGCTCAACATCACTCATTATCAGAGAAATGCAAATCAAAACCACAATGAGGTACCATTACACGCCAGTCAGGATGGCTGCTATCCAAAAGTCTACAAGCAATAAATGCTGGAGAGGGTGTGGAGAAAAGGGAACCCTCTTACACTGTTGGTGGGAATGCAAATTAGTACAGCCACTATGGAAAACAGTGTGGAGATTTCTTAAAAAGCTGGAAATAGAACTGCCATATGACCCAGCAATCCCACTTCTGGGCATACACACCGAGGAAACCAGATCTGAAAGAGACACGTGCACCCCAATGTTCATCGCAGCACTGTTTATAATAGCCAGGACATGGAAGCAACCTAGATGCCCATCAGCAGACGAATGGATGAGGAAGCTGTGGTACATATACACCATGGAATATTACTCAGCCATTAAAAAGAATTCATTTGAATCAGTTCTAATGAGATGGATGAAACTGGAGCCCATTATACAGAGTGAAGTAAGCCAGAAAGATAAAGACCATTACAGTATACTAACACATATATATGGAATTTAGAAAGATGGTAATGATAACCCTATATGCAAAACAGAAAAAGAGACACAGATGTACAGAACAGACTTTTGGACTCTGTGGGAGAAGGCGAGGGTGGGATGTTTTGAGAGAACAGCATTGAAACATGTATATTATCAAGGGTGAAACAGATCACCAGCCCAGGTTGGATGCATGAGACAAGTGCTCAGGGCTGGTGCACTGGGAAGACCCAGAGGAATGGGATGGTGAGGGAGGTGGGAGGGGGGATCAGGATGGGGAACACATGTAAATCCATGGCTGATTCATGTCAATGTATGGCAAAGACCACTACAATATTGTAAAGTAATTAGCCTCCAACTAATAAAAATAAATGGAAAAAAAACACATTCTTTTGAATTTTAAAGTATATAAATATTTCATAAAAAAAAAATCTAGATTTGAGTTGACCTTATTATTAAGATCTTGTATAAAACTTCTGATTTTTATCATACTCAAACCTCAATGATTCCCACTGCCTTTAGGAGTTTTTAAAAAACTGACTATAAAATATACATGCAAATACGAAGGGCTAAGAAGAGCTTATACAACTTTGAAGAATAATGTGTATGTGGAGAGGGAACAGATTCTCTTACACTGGCAGAAATAATCACTCATTATAAAGTTACAGTAATTAGGAAGACAGTGTGGTACAACACAAAGATGGATATAAAGACCAATGGGGAACAAAACACAGTCCAGGAAAAAAGTCCCACTTACACACATGAATACCTGACTTACTGTCAAAGGTGACCCTGCTGAGCATTAAGAATGGCCTTGTCAAAAACAAAACAAAAACAACATAGTACTGTTTTACTGGTTACCATCTGAGAAAAGGAACTTAACCTATAGGTAACCCTCTGCATAAAAATCAATTCCAGATGGTTAATAGATCTAAATGTGAGAAGTAAAATCATAACACTTCTAGCAGTCAGTAGAAGAGAATATTTCAATAAAAGATTTCTTAAATGAAACATACTAAAGTACCTGCCATAAAAGACTGTTAATTGGACTACAATAAAATCACAAGATAGTATTAAGGGAGTGGGAGAAGACATTTGCCACATAAAACTAATAAAGGACCAGTAACTGGAATATAGAAAGAATACTTAGAAATCAAGACAAAGCAGAAAAATAGAAAAACAGGTGAGGGACGCTCATAGGCTCTTCACAAAAGAATATGAAAAAGTGCTCAACGTCATTTGTTGTACAAATCAAAGCCATACTGAAAGACACAACATACCTGGCAGGATGGCTAAAATTCCAATAGACATTTCCAAATGTTAGCAAAGATGTGGACTGCTGATAGGAGTGTAAAATGGCATAACTACTTTGGAGAACTGTTCAACAGTATCTACCAAATTTGGACATATGGATACTCTATTAGTACAATATGTAATAGTATCTATTACATACTGATACTCTTAGATATGAATGCACAAGATAAATGAATGCATACATGTATCAAAACATTCATATAACAATATTTATGGCAACACTAGTTATAACAAGCCCAAACACTGGACACAACCCATATTTCTATCAACAGTAGAATGGAGAAATAAATTGTGATATATTCATTCCACTCTAGTATACCAGAAAGCAATGAAAATGAACAACATACTGCCACTCATAAAACAAACATGACTCTCTCATAAAAGGGTGTGTGTGTGCTGTGCTTGGTTGCCGAGTGCTGCCGACCCTTTGCAACCCCCTGGGCTGTAGCCCGCCAGGCTCCTCTGTCCACGGGGCTTCTCCAGGCAAGAATACTGGAGAGGGTTGCCATGTCCTCCTCCAGGGGATCTTCCCCAACCAGGAATCAAACCGGGGTCTCCTGCATTGCAGGCAGATTATTTACCAGCTACCAGGGAAGGCTGTGTGCTGTATAATTCCATTTAAATAAAGTTTAACAACAGGTAGAGTTACTCTCTAATATATGTCAGAAGTCAGGACGTAGCTACCTTTTGAGAAATGGCACATGTACAGTGGTTACAAAGGTATATTCACTTTGTGATAAATCATTGACCTACAGACTCACGGTTAATGTATTTTTCTGGGTGATCTTTATATCAGAATTAAAGGTAAAAAAAAAAAAAAAAAAGCTCCCTGAGGTGACAGTCACACATATTCTTAAGAAAGTCACATTTACTTTCTAACACAAATCTAGAAAACCATTTCACCCAGGCAAACTTAACTCATGTCCAACAGTTTATACCTTCCCATCATCTGCTGCATATTCCCTTAATTCTGAGGGAAATACAGTGTAATGGTAGACTCAACTAAAATTTTCTGCATATTTTCTTCTTTACAGTTATTATTTTCTCTTGCATCTTAAAATGCTGCCTGTACTCCAGGGTTCAATATATGGATCAAAGAATAGACTATCTTGGGGATCCTAAGAATTTATCACTTAAATCATTAAACCAGTGGTATTTAATGTATATCACCTGGAGAATTTTTCAAACATACTTTTAGAAATTTGATAACCACATAATTTATTATCCACGTAAGAACCTAGTAAGAGTGAATGAAGGTGCTATTAATATTTAAAAGAGGATGTGTATGTGTTAGTCACTCAGTTGTGTCCTACTCTTTGGGACCTCACAGACTGTAGCTCGCCAAGCTCCCCTGTCCATGGAATTCTCCAGACAAGAATACTGGAGTGGGTTGCCATTCCCTTCTCCAGGGGATCTTCCTGATCAAACCCAGGTCTCCTGCATTGTGGGCAGATTCTTTACCATCTGAGTCACCAGGGAAGCCCTTAAAATAGAATGGGAACAAACTAGAACATATGGTGATCCCACTTAGGAAGCCTTTCCAAAACATTGTGCAAATAAACAAATATGCCTTAAAGGAAAATAAACAAACTTGAATACTAAAAAATTTAATATTTTTATATGGTAAAAGCACAATAAAATAGAAAGACATGATAAATCAGTAAAATATTAACAATGAACAACTTTCCTTAGTATACAAATGGCTTTTACACATTAGTAAGAAAAAGATGTACAACTCAGTGGTAAAATGAGCAAGGATATAGGGAGAAGAGTTTGGAGAAAAAGAAATACAAAAATTAGGAAGAATGGAAACAGTGTTCAACACACTAGAAATGAAAATTCAAACAGAAGATACCATCTCTGTACACACTAGGCTAATAAAGGTTGAAAGGGTGGGTGAGTGTGTACTGAAAGAAGCATCTCACATACTGTCGAGAGGAGAGCTGTCAGCACAACTCTGGGGAACCAATTTAGCGTTACCAACTAAACTCGAAATGGAACTGTTCTTTGACCAGCAATTCTACATGTAAAATCTATCCTTCAGAAATTATAAGGACACAAGTGTGCAAAGAAAGTGTGCAAGGAAACTCACTGCATCCTAGTTGACAGACGGAAACAAAACGAGGCAAACAAGCCCCAAACAAAACTTGGAAGTAAGTGTCCAAAGGGGAACTGGTAAAAAGAAAAGAATCAACCACAATTTACAGGTAATGATAAGGACTAGATCTCTCTATATAACACTGAATGAGCAACAATAACTGCAAAACAGTAATATATATAGTATGAAAACATTTGTGAGAAAAAAATGCACCCACAGAGGTTTACAGGTTACCTACAGAATTTCTGGAAAAATATTAAACCATTAATAACAGCTATGTTGGGGAGCATAATCTTTAGTATTCACTTTCTGCCTTCTGCATAACTTACAATTATATCATGAGCATCTATTGCTTACAGGTTGGAAAAAAAAAACCCTAATTGAACCCCACAAACAACAACAAAAACATATTCCACCCTAGAATTAACCAATCAAATTGAGAATGTGGTCTAGAACTTGTATATTTTGCAAATGTTCTCAGTAATTTAGTTGCACACTAAATTAGTGGTGAAGAACCACTAATACTAAAGAGTCTGCTAAACTCTTGCACTTAAAAACAGAATTTC